GAGGAAGTACCTGTCTGGTTCCAGTATTACATTTTTGTTAGATTATTAACCAGCAGCACAGAATCTGAAAAAATAGTTATAACAATAAGAAAAAAAAAGCCTTTTAATTTCCATTCCTGAATTTTATGAGTCAACATGCTCAGCTCTGTTTGGAGACCCACAACTAACTTACAAGGATAGTTCAGCCTTCTTGTAGTGGGGTTCTATGGACAAGTTTAAGCAATTAGCATTTTACCTGAAGTAGACAGCTCTTTGAACGAACTCTGTTTGGAGAAATGGTGTTAAAATCTGAGAGGACTGACAAACGAACAGCTAGTCCAAACACAGCTAGAACCAAGCTTAAAACTGTAGCTCATACCTTTGTAATAGATTAGAGCTGATTTAAGTTACGTATACTCAAGTCAAGATATGGATTCTTTTAACAAATTATCTTCCCATCAGTCTGGTTTCAGGAGAAAAAAAAACAGCACAATCCCTGCTTCATTGAAGGATTTTAATGATGTTGGTGAAGCATTGGATGCTAAGGACAACTTATCTGTACTCTATTTAGACTTGTCTAAAGCTTTTGACACGGTGGACCATGACACCTTATGTCATAAGCTCTCAGACATTGGTTTTTCAGATCACACCATCGGTTGGTTTTCTAATTATCTCTCAGATCAGAGGCAATGTGTTAAAACAATGGTACTTTTTCCAGTTATTTAACTGTCAGTAATGGTGTACCACAAGGCTCAGTCTTAGGACACACCCTCTTTACAATCTACATATAGGTCAGATTATTCCTGATGCATCCTTACATTTCTATGCCAACGACAGTTGTTTACTGTTGAGCTAAATCAGTTGCTAATGTTTTCCAGCTTTTACAGTCTGCATTCGACATCATCCAGTCAGATTTGTTCCGTCTCAAACTTTGTGCTAAATGCTGGTTAGACCAAAGGGATGTTGTTTTCAAACAGGAAGTTGGTACCAGCAGTCCTTCCTTCTATCTTATCTTCTAATAGTGTTCCTATTGAGTTTGTCGATTCCTATAAATACTTGGGTACCTTGGTCGATGCACATCTCTCTTTTAAGCCTCATGTCGAAAATTTGATGAAGAAACAGAAATTAAAATGGGATTTCTTTATCAGAAATAGATCTTGTTTAACTCTGAATGCTAGGAAACGACTTGTAACTGTGACTTTCCTTCCCTCCATTGATTACGATGACATTATTTACATGAACGCTCCTGCAAGCACCCTGCAGATGTTGGATGTTGTCTATCATGGTGTGGTAAGATTCATAACTGGCTGTAACTACTGTATCCACCACTGCCCCCTGCATTCACTGGTTAACTGGTCATTATTAACTTCACACAGACTCTCTCACTGGTACATTTTCATCTTTAAATCACTCTGTGGTCTGTTACCTTCATGTATCTCCTCCTACATGTCACATCCTCATTGCAGCTACAGCGTGCGCTCTCAAGACATAATTACCTGCAGTGTCCCCTCAGTGCTGACTGAACTAGACAAAAGGGCCTTCTCCTACTCCGTTCATGTAACTTGGAACACCTTGCAAAAAGATCTGAAGCTCTCGTTTTGACGTCTCTGACGTCTCTGTACTGACACCGTCTCCACTATCAGAAATGTTAAAAGCTACCCAAACAGAAAACCTTGGCTGAATGCAGAGGTGCGTACCCTGCTGGAAGCCAGGAACACTGCCTTCAGGTCTGGAAACTCAGAGGAGCTGAGTAGGACAAGAAAAGAGCTGGTTGCTGGTATTAAGAGGGCCAAGGCCACATATGCAAAGAGGATCGAGGGTCAATTCATCTCACAAGACCCTCGGAGCATGTGGAGGGGCATTAAGTGCATAACAGATTATAAAGGAAGGAGAGAACAATGCCCCAAAGACCCATCTCTGCCTGATGCCCTCAACAAGTTCTATGCACGCTTTGAAGACCCGAACAGACCACCCAGCACCAGACTCACCTCACCACCGGATGAAGAGCAACTCAGCGTGACCTCAGCAGAAGTAAGGAGTACCTTCAGGAGGATTAATCCGCACAAAGCAACTGGCCCAGACAACATCCCCGGAAAAGTGTTGAAGGAATGTGCTGATCAGCTCTGCGAGGTGCTGGCAGACATCTTTAACACCTCACTTACCCTGGAGACAGTTCCCACCTGCCTGAAGACTGCCACCATCATCCCAGTCCCAAAAAGCTCCACAGTGACTGGTCTGAATGACTATCGGCCAGTGGCCCTCACCCCGATAGTCGCTAAATGCTTTGAAAAACTGGTCATGACTCGCATCAAAACAACCATCAACATCAACGAGGACCCTCATCAGTATGCATACCACGAGAACCGATCAACAGAGGATGCAATCTCCTCTGTGGTCCACACTGCACTCAACCACCTGGAGTAGAAAAACTCTTACGTCCGTATGCTCTTTGTGGACTTCACATCCACCTTCAACACCATGATCCCCCAAACCCTGATGGACAAACTATCCACACTAGGACTAAGCCCCTCCATCTGCAACTGGGTACTAGACTTTTTAACAAACAGACCACAGTTAGTGAGGATCCACAACCTCTCCTCCTCCACCATAACCCTCAGCACTGGCTCTCCTCAGGGATGTGTGTTGAGCCCCCTCCTGTTTACTCTGCTCACGTATGATTGTGCAGCTACCCATCCAGGCTGTCCTATTGTAAAGTTTGCAGATGATACAGCGGTGGTGGGATGCATCACAAACAATGATGAGTCCAGCTACAGGCAAGAGGTGGAACACCTGGAGAGCTGGTGCAAGGAGAATAACCTTCACATCAATGTGAAGAAGACAAAGGAGATGATTGTGGACTTCAGAAGGAACAAAAACACCTACACCCCCCTGAACATAAGAGGGTCTGCGGTGGAAGTGGTCTCCAGCTACAAGTACTTGGGTGTACACATGAATGACAACCTCAGCTGGAGCAACAACACCACCAGCCTGATCAAGAAAGCTCATCAGAGACTCTACTTCCTCAGACGGCTGAGGCGAGCTGGTCTGGGAAGCTCAGTCCTCACCTCCTTCTACAGGTGTGCAGTGGAGAGCATCCTGTGCTCCAGCATCAATGTGTGGCATAGAGGCTGCACAGCTGCAGAAAGAAAAGCTTTGCAGAGAGTGGTGAAGGCTGCACAGAAATCTGTCGGAATCAGCCTCCCCACCATCACAGACATCTACACCTCCAGATGCAGGAAGAGGGCCACCTGCATCATGAAGGACCCCACTCACCCAGCACACACACTTTTTGCCCCACTCCCCTCAGGAAGGAGGTTAAGAAGCATTAAATGTAGAACCACTAGACTGAGGAACAGCTTCTACCCTGAGGCTGTTAGACTCATGAATCTCTAACTAGAATAATCACTGTGAAAAACCATATCATGTTGCTGCTGATCTGTTTCATGTTGCTGCTGATCTGTTTCATGTTGCTGCTGATCTGTTTCAATGTTGATGTGTTCATGCGTGCACATCTGCTCACAGACTCATGTTCATGTTTGTGCTGATGTTCAATGTTTTATGTTATGAGTGCTTAGTGTATATTTAGTTGATGTTTTTCTTAGTTCATATCTTAGATGTTGTTACTGTTTTTCTTAGACATTTTATTGTTGGATGTAACTGGGACCTTGTGTACATAATTTCGCTCCACCACATGTACCCCATGAGGTGCGAATGACAATAAAGAAACTCTGACTCTGACTCTAAAGGATTTTAAACAACTTTTAAGTTCAATGCACAAATCAATGCAGACCTGTTCCTGATTTTAGTATTTTACACAGTTTTATAATGTAGCTTGTTTTATTTCGTTTTATAGCACTACTTTTATTTACTTTTCATTTTACATGCTTTTAATGACAGTTTATTTTTGTGTGTACCTCAAAAAGTGTGTTATTTTTTTTCAACAGGTCTCTCTTGTTAATGAGTCCCAGTGATTCAATGAGACTAGCCTGTAGAAATAAAGATTGAATGAAAACAACAAAGTCCATGCTCAATAATCCAGGTAAACAATCCAACATTTTTTCAGTCAGGTCATCTGGACAGTTTCTTTTTTTTTTGTGCTGAAACGTTTCGCCTTCGATCCAGAAGGCTTCATCAAACCTGACTAAAAAATGTTGAATTGTATACCTGGATTATTGAGCATGGACTTTGTTGTTTTCAACCAGTTTGAACAGACTGTCAACAAGGAAGAGGGCCGGCAATGGAGGAGGGGGCGTACCAAAGAGACCATCTTATCACAAGCAGAACTGGTTTGTTCCACTTTGGAGTAAGCTGTTGGGGGAAGAATCAGTTTTATTGTGTGTTTCCTTGACTGATGAAGCCTTCTGGATCAAAGGTGAAACGTTTCAACACAAAAAAAGAAACTGTCCAGATGACCTGACTGAAAACTGTTGGAAAGATTGAATGAACGTAAATCTGGAAATTTGGAAATGACTCTGCTCTAACTAGCTGTTAGTAACTTGTCAATATGGTCTCACTTCTATAGCAGATTCTTTTTCATCTTAAAACAATTAGGGTTTTCAACATTTCTAAGCAGTTTACTCAAAGAGTAATATTAAAACTTTTAAACTACAGTCAGTTTGTGCTGCACAGCTATTCTGGCTGAAAGCTCACGAGAGTCCTCATTAAGATGATCCCAAGTTGAAACAGAAATACCACACTAGACACAGTCACTGTGCTTACAGTTGATAATAACATTTCTTGTAAACATCTGATGTCAACATAAAGATGTATGAAATAACATCATATGAACAACCGAGTTTGGGACATTGCATCTGTTTTAAGAAGGCAGCTTTGGTCTTAGCTGTGTTTGGACTAGCCATTAGCTCATCAGTCCTGTCAGATTTACATTCTCTTAACTGAGGTCGTTTAAAGAGCTGTCTATGACAGACAAGAAATGTTCAGAACGTTTCCACAGAACCCCTCTTGTAAAAGGCTAAACGATCACTGCACATTAATTATTTTCTTGTTGCGTCATCATCCAGGTTTTCTGACTCTTTGCGGTGCAAGCCTCTACATCATCTACTCCTACCAGGCCCTGGATGAGACTGAGAGGCTGGTGGGACCGGAAGGTTTGGCCTACATCCACACCTCTTTCGGCTGGTCTCTGGGTCTGGCCTGGCTGTCCTACGGTCTGGAGGTCATCACCGGAGCGCTGATGCTCACAGCTGCTCGAATGGTCAAGCTGCGGCAAAGAGGACCCACTACGGCCTGAAACTTCGAACCTACGGAGGACTCCAATTTAAAAATAAAATTAGTTGTCGGTAGAGGGAACTCAGGAGGGACAGCTGTCACGTGCACCAGTGAGGTTCTGCCGTGTATGAAGCGAGTTCGGTTTTGCAAGAAAAACAAAAGCTGAACACGTTCGTCAGAGGTCGACTTTACTCCAATTTAAAGTTGGACTTAAATTTGATGAACTCCACCATCTTGTGGTGTAAAATCAAACTTTGCAGATTCAATGGCTCATCGTCACACCGCTGCAGTTTTCAGATAAACAACCAGCAGTTCATTACTTTTCATCAACACATTTGATTTGACCATAGTTCCTGTAAAACATGTCCCTGTTCTTATTAATGGCTTTATTTGACATGAGCTGCATTTGATGCTTTTTATTAAGTACAATGATTTGATGTGAGCGTTATTTTTGGATGCATAAAAACATAAAGTCTTGTGTTTTGTAATGCAGCTCTCTGTAGCTCACATTTTTTATCTGATTTTCTTATACCGTACTTTTCAGACTATAAGGTGCATTAAGCGAAACAAAACAGTCAGATAAGTCAAACTTTATTCAACTCATTCACAATAACCACATAAAATTGGTTCGAGGTTAGTAAGCCCAAGCAGAATGAATACATAAGGTGCTCCAGATTATGAGGCTCACTGTCGATTTTTGAGAAAATTAAAAGATTTTAAGTGCAACTTATGGTCCGAAAAATACGGTAAAACTTTGTGTTGTGTAAGAAAGATGTTGAAAATGCTATTTAAGCTGTTTGATTTTATATTTTAATATGTATATATATATTTATTTCATGTATAGATACATAATTTATTTTTTGTTTGTTATCCCAGCATTTTTTTTGTCTGTCACAGCTAAAATCCTTAAAAGCTATAATACATTTACAACTAAATATTTTGAGACTTAAAGCAGCAGCAGTTGTGAGTCAGTTCCAAAGGTGAGTTTATAGAAGCTGCTACCGTTTATTGTCGACTAAAGTTCCAGGAAAAACACAACATCTTCAAATATTGTTCTAAAATACATCAACCTGATATTCTGTGTTCACCTGAAAGCACAACATGAAGGCTGAAAGCATCTGTTTGTCCCTCTGGCTTAGAATTCATTTTACATAAAATAAAATAAGCAGTTATTTTCTTGTAAAATATTCAATAATAGGCTATCTCATTATTTTTTATTTTAAATAATGAAACAAACTTGCTGTTTGTTCTTTACACAAAAACATGTATTAGGTGTGAAACAACGAACGGAGACATTTCTTCATATTTAAACATGAGAGAGAGTTCAAAAATATATAATTAAATGGTCTCTATATCCATAGAGGGGATGAATATATACATAGATATGATATCTATGATACTGCCCACCAAGTTCCTGATAGGTACTGGGGGGACTGGGCTTACCCTGTGCTTAAAGCAGGGGCATCCAAAGTGCGGCCCGAGGGCCATTTGCGGTCCTTGGAGTGATTTTGTGCGGCCCTCGACTGAAATTAAAGAATGTATAATTTTGACCCACAGGCTTAAGAGGTTGATGCAGATGTAGACTTTCTTTAGATTTAATGGTGATACTTTATAAATGTATTTTTTAGGTTTAACAGCAAAAAATATGAAAATAATCTTCTCTAAAGTAGCAAAATTAAGTATACAATGCTATAATTAATCCCTTTATTCTACATCAAACCTTCACTGACTTAGACCAAAAAGTAGAATTTTGGATGATATAAATTATGAAACTTGGCTAAATAAGTGTTTTCAAAGAAATCATTTCAGTTGATTAAACAATCAAAGGGTAGAAATTGGACATTTTTAAAAGAATATAAAGTATCATCAACATACACGTTGATCAACTTCAGTGTCCCTTCAAACCTTCTATGAATCTGTTTTAGCCACTGCCAGATGATTTTCAGAACTTTGATGACCCAACCGGGCCGTTCAGGGTCCAAACAGGTGACTGAAGTTCCACCCCCTGTTTTTAAAGAACAGTCACTCATTTTAGGCTTTTGTCTCTGAAAATAAACGAAAAACGAACTTTCCAAGCACAAGAAAACAAATAATAGTCCCCCCAAAAATCTAATCAATTATTTTAAACAAAAAAGAAGTAATATATATTTTAATGTTTATGAGACTCATGATTGTCTGGATCTACAAGAATTTAAACTAAACTTTTAACCTTTCTCCAAAATAATATTCAACTTGTTAAAAATTAGAAAAAAAAAATCATGCTTAATTTTTTTTTATTCAGATTGTTCTGATGTGAGACCCTTCAGACAAAGTTTAAGTTCTGACCCACCTATGAAAATGTTTGGACACCCCTAGCTTAAAGGGTACATACTTGGTACCATCAGTACCTGGTACCAGTGTTGCCAGATAGAGTCGAGGTTTCTCAGCCCACAAATCTGTTAAAAACCACCACATCACACAAAAACCTGCCCAATCATTATATTGTTATATTCACTGTTTGAACATGAACACGCATCAGTACAAGCCATTGTAATTTAACACCATGTGGGAAAACGCAACAATCCAACAAAATCTGCCCAGAGTTGTTCTCCGTCAACGACTGACCCAGCCCCCACAGCAACGTCAGATCCAGTGAGTGTCACGTGACACATCACATACTAACATGTTTGCAGATGGTTTCACAACAACCATGCAGACTGCTCCTCTTTTCACATTTAGAAGACACAAACTACCATCAGTGCGCTCGCACAAAACATAACTGAAATAATTAAATTTACTGTGGTTGATTTTGAATTCTTACCTTTAATGCTGATTAGATTGTTGTCTGGAAATGCAAAATTTGCAGTGAGCTTCGCTTTTGTCGTTTTGAGATCATTTAAGATCATTGTGGCGCTATTTTCTGTAACTCTTCTTATATTTTCCTCACTTCAGCATCTTCTGGGTTTATCACACCAGATCCACCGGCTGCTAAACTAGCATAATTTATGTGAACGCCCTGGCAGATAACAATAGCCAACCAGTGATGGGAGAAAGGACTCAGAGGAGCTTTGCTATGAACTAATAAATAAATGGTTGACATGTATTTTAATAGATTAACTAAAAAAAAAAACGCCAATCTGACTCCAAATCAACAGAGATTATCTCCACCCGCCCAAAGTAATTCTTACCTGTAAAATCAGAATGAAAACCGCCCAATCTGGCAACACTGCCCCGTACAGTTCTGGTGTCAGGTATGTGCCTGATAAGTGCCAGGCTGTATTAAGTATTGCTACCCAGCACAGTTTAAAGGATTGCTGAAGTAGGCTTGTTGTTGGTGTAGTCACACTGCTGCAGATTTATTCTGCTGAAGCTGAACCAACATTCACAACTCGTCTTCCTGCAGGGCTTCCACCCGAGGATCCAGCTTCACAGTCCATTGATCACATTTCTGAAGAGTTTCCCTGACATTAAACTCTAAAACTTTACAATGCTGTAGTGTTTTAAAAATGGGTCGAACCACCACTCACACTGATGGCAGAAAAAGAAAGACAGAATGAATCAAATAAATAGACTATTTAAAGAAACAAAAGTGTCTTGAGTTCATCACAAACCGTTTGTTTTATCAGACACGTGGTCTAATCAGTTATGATTTACACCAATTATCAAAACCATGGCTCTTGCTCTTAAAGAATCTGTAAAAATCTTAAAATTACAATATAATCTTTCTTCATCTCCTCACATTTATCGGTACCTGCTGTGGACACGTGGACGAACAGATGAGGCAGTTCAGTTAACGTTCCCCCACAGAGGAGTTCGTACTGGTGTTGAACTGAGGATTCAGAAACAAGTGGGAGGGTTATCCCAGTAAGAAATCCTTCCCAACACACAGCAGCCCCACTACGGTGAAGAAATAGGTTCTGGTTCTGATGGAGGTTTCGTCCTGTTAAAAGAGTTTTTTCTTTTCACTGTCGCCTGTGAACTTGCTCAGTGTGTGAGGTTGTGAGTAGAGATTAAACTCTATCTGATGGCTTCCAGTGATAGATAACGTTTACTTGTTTACATCTTTTAATGTATGTGAATGTTATTGTACAGTGTCCTGAGACAACTTTGTGAATTGGCACTGAATAAGTAAACTGCAATGAGTTGTAAAACTCTCTGGAGCGTCAAGAACAACAGTAGAGGCTGAGTATGAACGTTTCAACTGGATATTAAAAAACGCCTCCAAAATCTTTCTATTATGAACGTTTTCACAGGTAAAATTATTTATGTGGCATTGGGTTTACAGATTAATAATTTTATTTATTTTAGTCTAGCACATTTCTGGTTTGGTGTGAGAAAACTAACACCATCCTATATTTTACAAGTTTATGTTTTTATATATATATAATTATTTATTATCATTTTTTGTCTCTCGTTGGGTATTTGGGAAATAACAAATTAAAATTAAAGCTGCAAGCAGCGTTGAAGGCCCTCGCAGCTAAGCGCCGCTGCGGCCTCATGGCGACCGCGGGAACTCGAGCTACTCTTCCCGGTCGCCATTGAGAACGCTCACGCTACTGTCACGCGCCCATTTTCCGGAGTGCGCATTCACAGAACCTTTAACATCAGCTGCAACAGCATATATAACAACTGTAATAATGTAGGGGGCGCACTTGAGTCAAATATTAAACAACAACACCACTGTGTCCATAAGTCCTCACTAGTCAAGCACCAAAAATCTGGTCCAGATCGGACGATATATCACTGAGATATAACAGTTTGATTTATGTAAGGGGCGCACTTGAGTCAAATATTAAACAACAACATCACTGTGTCCATAAGTCCTCACTAGTCGAGCATCAAAAATCTGGTGCAGATCGGACGATATATCACTGAGATATAACAGTTTGATTAACCTAGGGGGCGCACTTGAGTCAAAAGTAAAACCACCATACCATTGCGTGTTTAAGTGCTTACTTATCACACACCAAAAATATGGTCCACATCGGATGACATATCACTGAGATATAACAGTTTGAATAATCTAGGGGGCGCACTTGAGTC